ACCCACTTCATACCCACTTCATACCCACTTCATACCCACTTCATACCTATTAACTTTATCGAAATACACATGCATACATTGGAAACACAGACCAAAGAGAGAATAATTTACAACCTCAGCAATGTCAATCAATCAAAACTGATTCTCAACTTCAACCCTGTATAAACAAGCCACAGGCTTAATTTGTGAGTCATGGAGTTCAGACAAGCATTCATGATGAGACCATCTGACAACTATATCATACGGTTCTTTTACAGGGTGAAAGTTCCTTTATTGGTGTTTAAATCTTTCTTTCAAACAGCATTAGTGAAATGATGCAGTGACAATTCAAACTTTGACAAGTTATTGTGTGTTTTTTTTTTAGTTTTTTTTAGTATGTTGGGTGAATTGCCGTGTTGGTCAATCAAGCAGACTTATCAACAGCAGCAAATATCCCCGCCTTAGAGATGGCAGGAAGGACAAATAATTAGATCATGGTGGCTATGGAGAGAAACTTCTCCCATTGTCTGTCACCTCTGTTCGGTTCTGTGCGAGAACCTCCATGGAAGCTGCCAGTTAAGGCCCTTTAAGTGGTTAGTTAACAGCCAGCCTGATAACCTGCCTTCCCTAGCAGTTCAAAAAGTGGCTGCTTTCCTAACAAGGAAAGTGTGGCAACCTGCCTGCCAGGTTAGTTGAAGAAGCAGGGCTTCCTTTTGCCACCAATCTGGGGGCAGGTGGGTGGATGCTGAAAGCCACTCCCTGCCCTTGGCTCTGATCTGGACACAACCCCCAACTGTGCACAACCCTTGTCATGCGATCCCCACCAAAAAAAAATTCTCGAGTATAGCACCTCCTGCTGGTGCATCCTGAACCTCCAGTGAACATGCTCCACTTATTGGTGAGCAGCCTCTGGCAGGGTGGGAATTCAGTGACAAAGCTCCTGATTAGGCAAGGAGCTCACCAAATACCTAATTGGTGTTCGATTTGGTTGAGCCTTCTCACTGAAGTGGGTGGGGCGTATCCTCCCTTAAATTTATCCATGCCCAAACTAAGTGCACAGAAGACCTAAACCCAACCATTTGGTGAGTTACTGCACTGGAAGGTATCTTGTTTGAATTTGTTACATTAAGAACAGAACTCGGGGCCATAAAAAAAAATCATCCACAGTAAATAGGGGTGGCACGGTGGCTCAGTGGTTAGCACTGCTGCCTCACAGCGCCAGCAACCTGGGTTCGATTCCACCCTCGGGCGATTGTCTGTGTGGAGTTTGCACATTCTCCCTGTGTCTGCGTGGGTTTCCTCCGGGTGCTCCGGTTTCCTCCCACAGTCCAAAGATGTGCAGGTTAGGTAAATTGTCCACACTAAATTGCCCATAGTGTTCAGGGATGTGTAGATTAGGTCCGTTACAAGGGAGTGGGTCTGGGTGGGATGGTCTGAGGTTGGGTGTGGACTTGTTGGGCTGAAGGGCCTGTTTCCATACTGTAGGGATTTTAAAACAAAAATTGGAAAGGAACTTCAGAAACGACTTTACCCAAAAAAAATGGTTACAAGGTGCATCTTGTTACTACAGAGGCTAATTGAGTCAGATGACACAGATATATTTAAGGGGAAGCTGGGTGACACATGAGGGAGAAAGGAACAGAAGATATCTTAATGAGTATTGGATAAGAGAAGAATGTGAGAAGTTTACTGTGGAGCATGAACATTGAGTCTGTAAGCCCTTCTATGTAAACACAAACTTGAGTAAGAACAGGCTCAGATGTGGCTGTAATGCCATTAGTTCCTACAGGACAAAATAAGCTACCAACAACATGAAAACTGACAACTGAAGCCAAGTATTGCAGAGCTGTGAGTGCCAGCAACAATACTGCCTAGAAAAGTAGCATAATTGACACAATGTTATGGATACAACATATTGTGTTGGGGGAATGGGAAGAAACAATGTAGAATTTGGGGGATACATGCTGTTAAATTGTGGGCCTGTGCTGTTTATCAAATTGCCTCCTAGTGTGGAAAAAGTAGCTAAAGATTCAGATTTTTCATTACCTGCAGACTCTAAACAAAAATAAATGTTCAGAAAAGTGCACGACATGTCCCAACTTGTTTCGGAATCCTCATGATTCTCAGATTACACATTCAATGGTTCTTTTCAAAGAACATTACACCCAAATCTCTTCCTGCTGGCTTCAGCCCTGACAACAAGACCTGGCTTTGCATCAGACGGACCAAAGGTCTGAGTTATCAATCTTTCATTATCCCCCCCAGTTCTCTTATACATGGGCTGACATGTTGGTGCGGGGAAGGATTATCTGCCAACTGAGTTATTTTTTCTGTGAGAGTGGGTGTGTGTTTAGTGTAGAGATGCAGAATTTTCTTTCCAGAAATCCAGGTACACCAAGATACCGAACTCAACAGTCTGCCCACTGCTGCAGTTCCTACTGAGGATATTTTTCTAACCAACCTATTCAGAGATATTATGACAGACCTATGGAACAGGTGGGATTTGAACCTGGGCCACCTGGTTCAGAGATAGAGACACCAACACTGCACCAGAAATCTACATTATAAAAAGCTGTTGTCTAAGTTCAGTTCAAGTTGGTCTTGTTTAGCCAGCCTCAATAATAACAAGTAAAGGTGATTGTATGAATTATGTAACTGTTGAGAGGGTGTTAGCACACTTTGTTTGCATTGGAAAACCTTGTTTTCCCAGTGCTCCATGTGAAACAATAAGAACTGATGAAGAGTCGCTGGATTCGAAACGTTAGCTCTGTTTTCTCTCCACAGATGCAACCCAGACCTGCTGAGTTTCTCCAGCAATTTCTGCTTTTGTTTTCTTCAGGTCTCCAGTATCTGCAGGTGTTTGTTTTATACTAATTTAGAACTGTTTAAAAATAAGAAGTTGCCTATTCAAAACACGGACGTGGTGAATTATCTTTCTCCCGGGAGAGTAACCGTCTTCCTGAAAAGTTCGTGGACGCAGAATCTTTGAAAATATTGAAAATGCAAAATTGGATAGATTGAGTAAGCAAGAGGGTAAAAGGTTATCAGTAGAAGGTGGGAGTATGGATTATCAGTTACGATCAGGTCAGGCATAATCTTAACTAAATAGTGTAGAAGACTCAAGGGCTCGAATGGCCTACAACTATTCCGTATTCATATGAATGAAATTAACTGGTATCTAGTGCCTCATGGGTGGAAGGTAAATTTCTTTCAATATTTGTTTATGAGAACGGGATGGTGTGTGTTTACCTGGATGGTTGTCTTAGTTGAATATCATGAGTGTAGGTTCAACTGCCTCAACTTGGCTGGCAGGCCATATTATCTTTGGCACTATAAAGGTAAAGATGGTTATTTCCCTTCGAAAACTGGGAAATAATTGGTGGCACGTTGGTTGGGGAAGTGGAGGAGAATAGGTGGGCAAGGAAAGACTAATAGCCATGGTCATCACTAAAGATTATAAATGACTTATCCGTTGGTGGGCTCGTGCTATATTATTTATACCAGAGAATGATAGAAAAGGGAAAAGTGGTGTATTTTGAAGAAATCCTTCTATGGATGTGGGCTAGGCTAGCATTCATTGCCTAATTTCTCAAGAAGGTGGTAGTGAGCTGTCTTTGTCAACTATTGCAGTCCATCTGGTACAGGTACACTCACAGTGCTGTTGGGAAGTGAGTTCTAAGATTATAAAGGAGCAGCAATATACTTCCAAGTCGGAGATAACAAGGTGTAGAGCTGGATGAACATAGCAGGCCAAGCAGCATCAGAGGAGCAGGAAAGCTGACGTTTCGGGCCTAGACCCTCCTTCAGAAATATGGGAGGGGAAGGGGATTCTGAAATAAAAAGGAAGAGAGGGGGAGGCGGATAGAAGATGGATAAAGGAGAAACCTGACTGCCCTGGTCGACCCATTGTCTCCGCCTGCTCCTGCCCCACCGAACTTATCTCTACTTATCTCAACTCCATTTTCTCCCCCTTGGTCCAGCAACAGCCCACCTACGTCTGTGACACTACCCACACCCTCCACCTCCTCCAAAACTTCCGATTTCCCAGTCCCCAACACCTCGTCTTTACCATGGATGTCCAGTCCCTATCCACTTGCATTCCCCATGCAGATGGCCTAAAGGCCCTCCGCTTCTTCCTGTCCCGCAGGCCCGACCAGTCCCCCTCCACTGACACCCTCATTCGCTTAGCCGAACTTGTCCTCACCCTCAACAACTTCTCTTTCAATTCCTCCCACTTCCTACAGACAGTGGGGGTGGCCATGGGTACCCGCAGGGGCCCAAGCTATGCCTGCCTGTTTGTAGGTTACGTGGAACAATCCCTCTTCCGTAGCTACGCTGGCCTTAAACCCCACCTCTTCCTCCGTTACATCGATGACTGTATCGGCGCCGCCTCGTGCTCCCATGAGGAGCTCGAACAGTTCATCTACTTCACAAACACCTTCCACCCCAACCTTAAGTTCACCTGGACCATCTCTGATACCTCTCTCTCCTTCCTGGACCTCTGTTTCCATCTCTGGCAACCACCTGGAAACTGATATCCATTTCAAGCCTACTGACTCCCACAGCTACCTAGAATACACCTCCTCCCACCCACCTTCCTGCAAAAATGCCATCCCCTATTCCCAATTCCTTCGCCTCTGCTGCATCTGCTCCCAGGATGAGGCATTCCACTCCCGAACATCTGATGTCCTCATTTTTCAAGGACTGCAACATCCCCCCTCCCCACGCTCACCTCCACCCGCCGCCCCCCGCAACACCGCTGCCGCCACTGCCACCTCAGTGGTCGAGAATGCCCTCGCCCGTGTCTCCTGCAACTCATCTCTCACACCCTCTCCCTGCAATACCAACCAAAACAGAATCCCCCTCATCCTCATGTACCAGCCCACCAACCTCCGGATCCAAAGCATCATCCTCTGACACTTCCGCCATCTGCAATCCGACCCCACCACCAAAGACATTTTTCCCTCCCCACCCTTATCTGCCTTCCGGAGGGACCACTCTCTACGTGACTCCCTTGTCCGCTCCACACTCCCCTCCAGCCCCACCACACCTGGCACTTTTCCCTGCAACCGCAGGAAGTGCTACACCTCCCCCCCTCACCCCCATCCCAGGCCCCAAGAAGACCTTCCACATCAAGCAGATGTTCACCTGCACATCTGCTAATATGGTGTATTGTATCCGCTGTTCCAGATGTGGCTTCCTCTGCATCGGGGAAACCAAGCGGAGGCTTGGGGACCGTTTTGCAGAACACCTACGCTTGGTTCGCAACAAACAACTGCACCTCCCAGTCGCGAACCATTTCAACTCCCCCTCCCACTCCTTAGACGACATGTCCATCCTGGGCCTCCTGCAGTGCCACAACGATGCCACCCGAAGGTTGCAGGAACACCACCTCGTATTTCGCTTGGGAACCCTGCAGCCCAATGGTATCAATGTGGACTTCACAAGTTTCAAAATCTCCCCTCCCCCAACCGCATCCCAAAACCAGCCCAGCTTGTCCCCGCCTCCCTAACCTGTCCTTCCTCCCACCTATCCCCCTCCTCCCACCTCAAACCCCATCCCCGTCTTCTACCTACTAGCCTCATCCTGCCCCCTTGACCTGACCGTTCTCCCTGGACTGACCTATCCCCTCCCTAACTCCCCACCTATACTCACCTTTACAGGCTCCTCCCCCCGCCTCTTTGACCTGTCTGTCTCTTCTCCACCTATCTTCTCCTCCATCCATCTTCTATCCACCTCCCCCTCTCTCCCTATTTATTTCAGAATCCCCTTCCCCTCCCCCACTTCTGAAGAAGGGTCTAGGGCCAAAACGTCAGCCTTTCTGCTCCTATGATGCTGCTTGGCCTGCTGTGTTCATCCAGCTCTACACCTCGTTATCTCAGATTCTCCAGCATCTCTAGTTCTTACTATCTCTGAAATTATTTCTAAGTCAGGATGGGGTGTAGGGAAGGGAGCTTGCAGGTGGTAATGTTCCCATATGTCTGCTACCCTTGTCCTTCTAGACAGTAGAGGGAATGGGTTTTGAAGGTGTTGTCAATGGAACCTTGGTGAGTTGCTGCGGTGCATCTTGTAGAACGTGCACACTGCAGCTGCTGTGAGTCGGTGATGGATGATGCGCCAATCAAACTGGTTGCTTTCCCCTGGATGGCGTCAAGCTTCTCAAATGTTGTTGGAGCTGCACTCATCTAGGCAAGTGGTTGTATTCTATCACGTTCCTGACTTGGAATCAGAGAATCATGCAGTCCAGAAGAGGCCCTTCAAGTCTGCAGCAGAATCTACGTTAGTCCCATTCTCCAGCACTTGACTTGTTGCCAAGAATATTATGACATTTCAAGTGCTCATCCTAATACTTTTTAAAGGTTGTGAGGTTTCCCTCCTTAACTACCCTCCCAGGCAGTGCATTCCATCACCCATCTGGGTGAAAAACCCTTTCCTCAAATCCCCTCTAAACCTCTTGCCTTTCTCCTTAAAAACATGTCCCCTTGTTATTAACCCTTCAAATTACTATCGTGAATGCCTGCTTTTTATCCACGTTGTGCATGCCCCTCATAATCTCTTACACCTCAATCAGGTCCCCTTTCAGCCTTCTGTGCTCTATTGAAAACAACCCAAGCTTATCCAGCCTCTCTTCATAGCTAAACTGCTCCACTCAAGCATCATCCTGGTGAATCTCCTCTGCACCCTTTCCAGTGCAACCGCATCCTTCCTACAGTTCAGTGACCAGCACTGCACATAGTACTCCAGCTGTGGCCACGCCAAAGTAGTGCCTTGTAGATAGTGGACAGGTTTTGTGGGGATCAGGAGGTCCGTTACCTGCCACGGAATTTCTAGCCTTTGACCTCCTCTTGTAGCCACAGAATTTAAATGACTAGTCCAGCTCAGTTTCTGGTTAATGGTAACCCCGAGGATGTGGAGAATTAAGTGATGGTAATGACATTGAATGTCAAGGGGTGATGGTTAGATTCTTTCTCATTGAGATGATCTTTGCCAGCCATTTGTGTGGTTCAAATGTTCCTTGCCACATATCAGTTCCACTGTTTCAGGAGAGGCATATTGTTTAAATTAACCTCACCAAAGATGAGGAAAGAGAAATTTTCCAATTCTCCCTTTAGGGATATGGTAAAGTGCCTTCATTACCCTCAGCAGTTTACTTTAAAATATGCTTTATTGTAAAGTTTATTGAAGGACTTTATAAAACAATTCAAATCTGACATTACGTGATATGCATGTAGATCAGATTCTTGCAATGCAGAACATAAGATTTCTCAGTTCACTTGCTATTACAGGTAATATTTTCAATGTGTATTTACATCGCAGGTCAAACATTCCCTGGCGCATACAGCTCATGGGGCTTTATACATGTCCCAGCTCCTCAGTGACAGGCTATATGAGGGCTGTTCTGAGGAAAGGTCACTGGACTTGAAACGTTAACTCTGCTTTCTCTCCAAAGATGCTGCCAGATCTGCTGAGTTTCTCCAGCAATTTCGGTTTTTGTTTCGGATCTTCAGCATCCGCAGTTCTTTGTGGTATTGTAGTATTGGGGGCAATAAATATCGCCCTGTAGTCAGTGACACTCGCACCCCGTGAACAAATAAAAATTTCAAAAGCACATATCAACCAACCTCTCACGGTGCAAGGTTATTGCTGTTACCCTGTATTGGTGGCATTGAGCTCATGTGCAGGATCAATGGATTGTAAAACCAGTATCTGAAGGTTCAGCATGGTCCTGTCAGCAATTTCACAGAAAAGGCAAAACTCCGTCAATCTCTCTGCATTCCTCATGAACATGTAAAAACACTTGGACTGGAATTCATAAAAGGATCCACCTACCTGCAGAGAAATCTGGAAACCAGTAGTTATTAATAGAGAAGGATTGCTTAAAATGTTTGTTTTTTTTTTTGGAATATCTTGGATTGCTTTAATCTCATAAAAATTATGCAATGTTACAGTTTACTTGGTAACAGATGAAATCAAAATAACTAGTTGGAGAGAAAAATCCAAACCACGCTGCAGATTGTGAACTGTCACGCTAGGCTCCAAGTAAGTTTGGTTTTCTTGTACATACACACCCACATCATAAAACATAGAAGCAGAAGCAGGCTATTGAGCCCATTAAGTCTGCTCTGCCATTCAATGAGATTATGGCTGATCTGATAACCTTCAACTCCACTTTCCTGCCTTTTCCCCATAACCATTACTGATTAAAAATCTGCCCACCTCAGCCTTGAAAATTCTTAGTGGTCCAGCCTCAACAGCCCTCTGCAGTAAAGAATTCCACAGATTCACAACCCATTAAGAGAAAAAAAATTTCTCTTCATCTCTGACCTAAATGTGTGACCCCTTATTCTGAGATTATGCCCTGTGACCAAGACACTTTTTTTATCTTCTTTCTATAGGTGTTCGAATGGGCAGTATGGGTCTTTTCCTGCAGTGTGCATTCTCAATCTTTTGTTCAGCAATAATGGACAGACTGGTGAAGGGGTTTGGTACCAAAGTAGTATACCTCGCCAGCATAGCATTTTTTACATTTTCTGCCATCATCATGTGCCTTTCGAAGAGTGTGGTCCTGGTGACAGCGATGTCTGCACTAACAGGGTTTACGTATTCAACTCTACAGATTCTGCCCTACACATTGAACTCGCTTTATCATAAGGAAAAACAGGTTTGTGAGCAGTATTCTGTCAAACTAGCACTTGACGTTTTCACATTGTGATGTTGAACATTTCTTTTTCTTCAACTAAATATGTTTAAATAAGATGTGAGCCTATTAATGTTAGAGGATACATGTTTTATTTTACAATGTTCTGTTCTAGTTAATACGAATCTTGTATGTTGTTGAATATTGAGTGAAATATATTTATCAAGCCTACAGTACGTGCAAATGTGATTATATTTACACTTTGGGTTTGTCACTCTTTCAAATGTGTAAAATTTCTGAGCTCAGTAATTTAGAACTTGGTGAATCCAAATGCCCTTCACAAATAGCAAATTTTGTATACATCTCCCTTAACCCCCAATGTGTGACAATTCACAAAATCTCCATTGTATCGTTACCTAAATGTTAACATACAACTTCATTTAAGAAGAATTGAGTCGACTTATCCCTTCTCAAAAACTTTTAGTTTTAGTTGAGGTTATTTTTCTGTAGTCTAGCACAATTCCTCTATTTGTTACCATCTCAGGTGGTTTCACTCTCATTGTATAATTGCCATTACACCGAATAATTAAATGCTTTATAAGTTTGTCTTTGATTTTGCACCATTTTGTATTAATCAACCCAGATGCTTCCCTTTGCAAAACAAACTATGTTTGCTGCACTTACTATCAAGTGACTGCTAAGTTCTCAGCAGTATGAACTCGCGTGCTTTTTAATTATTTCGATCAAAGTGACTAAATTAGACATTGCTTGAAGATCATTTGTGGATCAATAACCTAGTGAAATCAATTGAACATCCTGCTAAACAGATTAAGGCTGGAAGTTACAATTGCTACACTGTAAAGAGAAAGGAGTATAACATTAGTAGACTTCAGAACAGCCTGATTACCCTATTCCATACATTACATTGTGACCATTTCAATGTAGCCTCTCAGGGCTGTGTATAAAGCTGATGCAGAAGGACTAAGTTAGAGTTTAGAGAATTAACACTAATTTTTTCAAATAAAGTGTACTATTTACACTGAGATCTGAGATCAGCTGATCATTCCATTCCCTTTTTGCTAACAGGGAGAGGACTTGAACCAGAGATCAAGTTTCCCTGGTTAACTGTAGTACATTTTTAAATTGAATGTGTCTTAGTCGTTTAGTGTATGCCTTGAAGTGATAAGGACATGTATTATTCAAAAGATCCTAAACAACAGAATACCCAGACTAATACCAACCGGGAGAGAACCCAACCACAGGTTATAGATGTTAGGTGATTTGTGCCCCTCAGTCAAATCGTTAATTCTAATTTCAGGAAGTTTATTCAATCATGTAACTGGTAATGACAATCAGGCAATCTTGTCTATAAGAATGCTCCTAGGGATGAGATACTTCAGTTATGAAGATAGATTGGAAAAGTTGGAACTGTTCTGCTTAGAGAAGAGAAGGCTGAGAGGAAATTGGATTGATGTTTTCAAACTGATGAGGCAGCCTGGCAGAGTAAATGGGGGGGAAATTGGCCCCTCTCATAAAAGGATCAAAAACAAGAAGGCACATATTTTTAAGTATTTCACAAAAGAAGCAAATGCGATGAGGGCAAAAAGAATTTTTTCACACAATGGGTATGTTAGCTTCTGGATTGCGCTGCCTAGAGTGTGGTAGAGGTGGGCTCAATTGAGTCGTTCAGCAGGGCTTGAGGTGATTATTTAAATGGAAGCAATGTGCACTGTTACAAAGAAAGGACAGGAAAATGGCACTAAGTCATGTTGCTCATTTGGAGACTTGGTGCAGACACAATGGACTGAATGGCCTCCATCTATATCAGAGTAATTCCATGCCACGGTCAACGCATGAAAACAGACGACAACAGCTTCGATTTATATAGCACCTATAACATAACAAAATAATTTAAAGCACTCACAGGGATCATTGTCAGATAAAATTAGGCATAGTCGAGCATTAGGATAGGTGACAGATGGTCTGAGTTTTTAAGGAATGTCTCAAAGGAAGATGCAGACAGAGGTAGAGAGTTTTAGACAGAGAATCCTAGAGTTTAGAGTCTGAACTACTGAAGGTGTGACCACCAATCTTGGATTGATTAATTAAAAGCATGATGAGACCAGGGATGTGGGTGTGGCTATAATTAGTGGAGAACTGATGTCTGGGAGGGTTTATGACTAAAGAAGGTTACAGAACCACCGAAAACAAGCTCATCTTTTGAGGTGAGCCCTTCCCTGCTGAGGTATCCCATCAGCTGCCTTTCTCTTTCAGATGTAGAGTGAATTGTATTGACTTTCATTTTTGATTTTCAGCATTTGACACCTACCTGCTGCTATACTCCATTACTGATCTATGTTCTTCATGCTTCTGTTTCATTTGCCATCCTATTTTAGGTATATTTTTGCAAGCACAAGTTTACTGAACTCGAAGATGGCAATTGCCAGATTGAGAAAAAGGCATCTTTGCAAAATGGAATCTTGAATCATAAATCATATAATCAAAATGGAAATTTAATTACAACTGCTCCTCTACTGTCTTCCAAAGGCCCGCTGCCAGAGAGAAGCAGCATCTCACAGAACCGTGGATCTCAGTGCGAGGTCATCGTGTCTGCTGGATCTACTGACAGTGAACAGTCTACTATGGGGAGGGGGATTTGCCTTGACCTAGCTATTCTGGACAGTGCCTTCCTTCTTTCTCAGGTCATTCCCTCGCTACTCATGGGAACAATTGTTCAGTTTACACAGACAGTAACTGCTTACATGATCTCCGCGGCCTTCTTTGGGACAGTGGCTATTTATTTTGCAACCAAAATAGTTTTTGATAAAAATGATTTAGAAAAGTATTTAGTGTGATGTAATGAAGGGATGATGCTTTTTCTGCTATGGGGTGGTGTAACAGTTGGAGGTGAGTGATATTGAACTCTACCGTATTATTATAAGCACAATGGTTGTCAATTAAGACCAGAATGTAGAGTTAAAGAAAACTTCTTCAGAATTCTGGAGAGGTCCTTGGTTCATTGATAATGCTATTGCTCAATAACTTTGTAGTCTGACATGAATCTATTTCAGTGACTGGAGACCATACGGCTTTCATTTGGTGTTGATGCGCAAACATCTGCTGCTTATCAAATCCTGTCACTGCTCTGATTTTTAAATGAATCCATTCGTACACTTCAAAATGTCAAGTATTTTACACCACTCTAATTTTGATTTTAAAGACATTTTAATTGCTGACCTGTGTAGTTTACAGAAGGCCTTAAATACATGTCTCTTGATGTGACTTCAAAAACAGATTCCTTACCCACGAGTAAAATTTGAGTCTATAATTGCTTTTTTATAGAAAAAGGTACCAAAGCTCATATTCTGAAGATATAGTTACGCTACTGTCTCACAAGATGGGTGAAGGGAAAAGCTATTGGATTCCTACAGGCAAGCTCCCTCACTGCACATCATCAAACAACCTATACCTAACCGTATTGCATCCGTACTCCAAATTCACGCTGGATAGGTCACCAGGATGAGGGAGATTGTGGTCAACCTGACCCATCTGCCCATGGAATTAAACTCCTCCCTCTCCTCCATGGTAGCGGGTAACTTGCCCAAGTGCAATATTGATGCCACTGGCATCTTCAAAGGCCTACATTGGGAACGGGTCCAAATGAATGTAGCAGTAAAAGATGTGTATGAAAATGTTGAACTGAAACATCTGGGATTGGATTTTTGTGTGTGTTTGGGAACAATAAGACAATGCTATTTTATTGCCTCATATTTTAAACACTTTTTAAGACAGTACCACATCTTCCAGGTGAACTTGCATAAGCCTTTGCTTGGTGATTGAAATGTTTTGTTTGCACTTATAATGGCAAGGTAGCTTTTTAATTATTAGCATTGTCAAATAGTGCATTGTGCTGGCCCCTTGCCAGCAGGTTTCAGAGCTCTGTTTTCCACTGACTTTCAGAGGAGTCATCTAGCATCTGCTTAGAAGGAAGAGTGTAAATAGAGGAGAAAGTTATCCCCGAGGTACCATCATACACCTCAGTTGGCTTGTCCTGAGCAAATAACAGAAGGCGTTGCCATCGTAAGACGAGGTCACTTTAGGAAGAGGGTTGGGATGAGCAAAGGAGATCAGAGAAACTATGCTTTTTCTCCTTCAGGTTTCTTCCTCTTGCAGAGGGTTAGATAAAACTTTGCACCAATTGCTTCTACTGACATGCATTTTTATATCGGACTTTTACCCTCTGGTTCAAATGCTCACTATATGGGAATGATACTCCGTAAGGTCCCAGCCTTTTCCAAGGCCACAAGTCTGCTTCATCAGATTTGTGGCCTGGATATGTCTCGCACCTTGCTGATCTCCACCTGCACAGCTATCATCCTTTGATAAGCTTGTCCAGCCCATCCATCATTCTAGACTTCATGCACTTAGTGGGGCGATGTCCCCTATCAACTAGACAAAACTACTGATAGCTTCACTTAGTTTAGCTCATCAGCTGAGCTAAAGTATCAGGATGTGCCCACTGATTTGCATTTCCAGCCGCTTGGATGAATGAGAGCTGAGGACACTGCAGAACGCAAATTCCAAACCAGACTGTGAGGCTGAGAATGACTCAGGTTCTGTCCTTTCCCAGAATTCCCCATGTGATCCAGGAACAGACACAATATGTTGTTTTGATTGCAAACACAACCCGAATATGCCTTGTCCATAACTCAAGGCTGTCTTGGTGAACAGAAATTGTGTTTTGAGTGAGAAGGAAAAATAATTTGAAGAAAAAACGGATGAAAGTTGATGGAAATCCCGCGTTGATTATGGAAAGTGTCCTCTTGATGTGCCAAATATCTTGAATGTTTCATCATTAATTTGCATAATCATAACACTATGCTACAATCTTCTGACTTGATTTTGAAAATCACTCCAATCTCGGCAGGGATTAATTGCCAGTAAAATGTGCCTTCTTTAACCATTCCTTCAACTCTTAATAAAACACCAGAGGTAGAAGCATTATTGCAGTCCAGTACACATGGTTCAATTCTGGCAAAATACAGTAAATCGTCTGTGTCCACAAAATCATGAATTGCGATTTTGTCTATCCGCACTTAAAAAAAACAAAAAAATCAATAACGATGAGCAAATATCCTTAATCTGTAACTTTTTTTTTTACCATTTTAACCTTTTTAAATCTATTTTTAATGAGCTCCATGCTTGTGATTTTACTCATTCGCTAGGGTGGGAGGTGTATCTCGGGAACAGAACCCTCGTGGATACAGAGGAATGACTGTACAAGGTTTAAAATGGACCCAGTGCCCTAAATTGCAGACAGGTTCATGCACCTTTGGAAAGATCAGCAATCTTCAACATTAAAGCTTTGGATGTTCAGTATTAGTTGCAGCATTTCACCTTTTGTGTTGCTTTTAGATCATAGATATGCAACCTTGGTGTTGACAGGTGTCACACCCCTGTGTACACTGAAGTACAGTGATGCTCTGAAAAGTGTCACATTACAGTAGGCACTTCAGGCAGGAATGTTTTCAAGATATCAATTTCTGTACAATTGGTCATTTAAACAATAACTGTAATTGTTCTCCTTCATGACCTCTGGTCTATATTCCCTATACACCAAGAACTCTCACTGTAGTCGCTGGTTGCAGAGTCAAGGATATTTTTGGTTAGGTAGAGTGGAGCATTGCAGCGTAACAATTGGACTGGACTAATATTTTGTAGCCTTAACCTAAATCTCATAATTCAATAATAGCAAAATCTGACATTCTCAAACATGGCACCATTCCATACTGTGTTATACTCTTCCACGTGACTGCCCTCCTGTCTTTTTATGAGCTTTCTAACCAGTCACTTTTCCAGTTATTCCTCAGTGTCCCCAACCTCTTTCTTCTTTGCTGAGGCCGTAAATCATTCGACAAGATGCTCCACAAACCTAGCAGGCCATCCTCACAGGATGGGTTCATGAAACCCCCCATGACAGATCTCCAAGTTGGCAGGATGGCTAAGATACCTGAAGGACTTCCAAGAAATGAAACAAAGTAAATTTCATTTTTGTTTTGTTCATATGAAAATATAATGCTTTTGACATTTCAAGTGTTTCAACTGAACTTGGGTAGGAGTAAAGAACTTTCTTTGTACTTCAGGACCATTAGCACTGTAATACAGCACCCCATTGCTGTTTTCTGCCTTCAACCTGTTGGTAAATCATCCAGGGGTCTAACATTGTCCATCTGAACTGATGGTTTGCCTTTTTATTGTCCTGCACCAGTAAGAAGGTTAATGTTGGAAAGTACCCTCATTTATGTGTATGTTTCTGAATGTTATTCACAAGTCATGTACACAACTACGTTAGCATTTTAGTGTCTGTATCACTCACCTCTGGCTGACTTTAGGTCTCTAAATTGATTGCTACATTATAGAAATGTATTTGGGGGAAAAGGTATATTATTTTTTGGTAGAATTAATAATTTTGCCTTAAAAAAATCTATTTTTGTTAAAATTGCTGACCTTGCAACTGTTTAAAAAGTCTATGAATACTGTATTTATACTGTAGAGATATTTTGTACAGTGACAATTTATATCCCTTATATAAAGGAACAGGAGTCCACAGGAATATGGAAGCTGCTGTATTTTTCTCCATTGAGGTCCTGTTGATGATCTAACTTTTTGCTTTTGGCAACAATGTCTTCACTTGGATCACAACTGAACAAAGGCCTTGTAGGAGAATCAGATCCATTGATGTTTACAACACAGCAGGAGGCCATGAATCCCACTGTGTCTGTGCAGGATCTTTGCTGGACCAATCCAAAACTAATCCTATTGCCTTGCTGTGCATCCATATGGAATCGCCTCTTCCTCTGCTTCAGCTAATTAATTGATTTTTCCTCAAAAGGTACAATGGTCTTTGCCTCGAGTATTCCATACTGCAGCATAATCCTTCTGCATGCCCTCCTATCAGAATTCTCAATAAATCTCTTCTTATTCTTCTCTGCTCTGAGTGGAAATAACTCCTCCAACTCAAATCTCCCCTAGATACCCATCGCTGATTTTAAAACTTTCTGTTCCATCCCTTCTCCTCATCCCCGATGCTGGCTGCACATTTACCAAACTAGTGCATCTATTGCATTAAATTATTGATATACAGAAATAAGTTGTGAGTACTCTAACACTGGTGTTATTAAGGTTAAGGCTCCTCAAGTATTCATCAGGAAAAGAAAAGCTGGTGCGTACAATTGCGGGATCAGTTTAGGGTGAGGTAGAGTGCTGGAATGGTAGAAGCAATTCAGGCCACTAATCTTCACAACTAGCTTTTCAGCAACTTTACAGATGTGATGCATATCTCCAACAAAAAAAATGTTCTGTCAAACATAGTTTGCTGTTCTTGTCATCTCACTTTCTCTTTACTCTCATTCCATAAGCATTTGTGCTAACTCTTGGCCAATCTGGCTGGCTTCTTAAGTAATATAACAAATAAAACAAAGAGCTGCGGATGCTAACTGAAATTTTGGGAGAAACTCAGCAGGTCTGGCAGCAACTGTGATGGTTCAGCACCTCCTTCCATGTCTATTACCCACCTCCAAAGCCCAAGTCCTGTCATGATTTGAATTGCTTTCAGCAGAGCTAATCCATTCTCCACTACTCAGTCTCCATTATCACCCATTTAGCTACTGTTCTTCCCTGGCTTACCCTCAACAGTCCCTTTGTCTGCCTATCTTTTTTGTTTCCCTCTCTCTGGCTCACTTTGGGTTCTGTCTCCACCTATCCACTCACTCCTTTACCTCTCCACTCCCTGCCATCCGCATAAGTACCATTTTTTCATTGCTGCTTCTAGTTCTGAAATGGGTTCAGGATCCGAAACATTAACTCTGCTTTCTCTCCACAGGTGCTGCCAAACCTGCTGAGTTTCCCTAATAATTTCAGTTTATGTTAGATTCTTTTACTTCTCTTTCTCTTACCTATCCCCTCCCTTTCCCCTCAGAACCTGCAAAACATGTGACCATGTTAGAAGTGGCAAGTAATAAATCTTAAGCTGGATAATTCAGTGAGCCCAACACAGAGGGGAGGTAGCGTGGGACAAAAACTAGTCCCAAACTCAGTATGAATCTGCAGGGAGTTCAATCCCACCATAGCAGCTGGGGTAATTTTTAATTCAATCAATGAAATAAATCTGGAGTAAAAAAACTAGTATCAGCATTGGTGACTGTGAACTGTATTGTTGCAAAAACGTATCTGGATTCACTAATGTCCTTTAGGGAGCGAAATCTGCCATTCTTACTGAACCTTTCACCCTTGTTGGAAATGGCTTATAAGCGATTGATTCTTAAGTGGTGTCCAGAGTGGCTTGGTAACCCATTCACCTGTATCAAACCGTCATGGTTGAGTATAATCTGAATAACGTAGCACTGCGGGAGTCCCTTCGCTACACAAATTGCAGTTTTCCAAGAAGGTTGCCAATCACTTTCTTTTCCAGGGCAATAAATGCCCATCCTGCCAGCAACTCTCCCATCTCCAAATTAAGAAAAAGAATAATCTGCCTGCTGACATTTACAGGCAGATTTCATGTGCGTCAATCTCATTGAATTTGTATTTTGCAGGTTTTCATCCCATTTTCTCCTTCTTCCTTTCCGTCATAACGTGCCTAACACTGATGCTGTTTGCAATGGTCATTCAAGTGGCTGTTTTTCAGCTAATCTCAGCCCTCCCCAGTTGAGAGGGCAGAAACCACTTTGAGAGTCCTTTTGTGAAGATCAGCCAACTGGAGGCTTCCAAAAGCTCCAAGGCAGCAATGGACGCTGTGGAGCTCCCCTCTTCTCCACCCCTCCTCACCCCAAAGCCCACTGTCACTCTCACAGGTCTTTTTCCATCAGCTCTTCCCCCATACTTTGCACACCATCACTCCCACTTTTACAGTTCTCTTTCCCACCAAACAACCTCCCCCCACAACTCCAAAACAAAAACTGAGCTTGTGACAATTTTCAAGCCTCAAAATGGGGTCATACTGGGAAAAACTGAGATTATTATTTGTGAAGTCAAAGCCAATAAATATACATTCTATTCTTTACTGAAATGCTGAAATCCTGGCCAGGATTTTACTGCAAACCTCATTTCAATTTTCAACGTGTGGGAGAATTTCTTGTAATGCTCTTCTATGTAGACAAATCTTAAACCTAAACAAAGTTAGGTTAACACACTGATAAACCTGCCTCAGCTGTTGAAATTTCTATTTTGGCTTAAGTGGATTGACCGTCTCATTGCTTTCTTTTCAAAATAGCTTTTATTTTGGACTTGGGGATGTCATGGAGTCTTGGAGGAAATGCATTGGCTGCAGCAAGAGTGAGTAGGTATGAGAGATGGAGACTAGAGATTGTCTTTGGTAGAGAGGTGACAGAGATGAAACAATTTGGTGGCGGGGTTAATGGGAGGGAATGCATTTTGGATGACAGCAGGTGCCAAAAAAAATGGCGCATTCAAGGAAAGGAAAGGTCTGGCAGGGAGCAGAGGTAGAGTGGCTAAAATGGGTTAGGAGTGGTTTGGCAATTGAGTGGGAGTGGGGTCCAGCAAGAATAGATTAGCTTATTTTCTCAACGGTTTTACTGAGTTGTGGTGTTTTCTGTGTAGCATGGTCACTTAACAGCATTAGTGCAATCATACAGTATTACAAAGACAAATTATAAATAATATATACCATAGATCTATAGCTTGCTTAAACTTTAATACAAGATTAGACACTTCTATAAATCAAAGGTTATGTTTTCAAGGTTTCTTGCTAATTCCAACAGCAATTAATATATTTTGATATTTATTCAATGACTTTGGTTCTGAGCTGAGGTATATAATGACACTAAAAATGTGAAGATTGGGTGTGTTCTGAGGATCCTGTTACTTTGAACAACCCCTTGCTGTTAAAGCTCAGCTCTGCCTACTTTGTGCTAACGATATGAAGTTTGATAGATTCAGTCATTTGAATTTTAAACTTGTATAAAAGTACATTTTTAGAAATGCTGCAATGTAGTTTTATTTTTCCGTCATCGGATAGGTTTTAAAATATAACTTATAAATGGACTGAAGAAACTGGATACGTGAATGTATTCTTGAGAATATCAACGTTAGTCACTTCCTACCAAAGCACCTTAGTGCTGAAAACTTAATTCGACTATTTGGCTCTATTTGACTAAATGAACGAAGTGATAAGATTGTAACCTTGAATATTTCACCCTGCTGCTTAATCGGTAACTATTTTGATCTCTGGTTTCTCCCATTCTGTTCCAAATTAGATATGCAGAGGGATGTGTAACGTAAATATCATTCTCCCCTCTCTTTAATTGTTTTTATCTCATTGCCTTCTCTCTCTCTTTCTTTTGTGCTTTCTGCATTCACATCCTTCCCTTTATTGCTGCAGTTAAGATCAGAAACTGCATGATCCAGGGTACTCAGACTTGTATCCCTCCACTCTCTGATATCCTCTGTGCAGAATTTCAAATGCTTCATTGCTTTGTTAATCATGGAGATATGACTGGATAAGATCCTTTGTCTTTTTAAGAAGAGTGTGTGGTGTTCAATGGTACAAAACAAGAGACATGCAGCTCATGTCCAAATTTATATTCATCCCTGTAAAACAGTAAGTGTTAATATATCACTGTAATCTTGTACAATTTGTCCTTTGCAATAAATATACTTGTACCATGCTCAAACCAAATTCTCTTGCCTCAGAATTTTACTGTCGCAGTTTATTAAAAAAAACCTTTTGAGCCAAGTGTAGTGAGGAAGGTTATCAAAGGATACACATCAGTCAGAAAGTTGAGCAGCGAAATGGCTGATGGAGTTTAATCAGGACGAGTGTTAAGTGGGGCATTTTAGGAAGTCAAAGAGGAAAGTGTAGAGTAAATGGCAGGACACTTAGAGTATTGATATACTGAGGGATCTTGGGGTCCAAGTCCATAGCTCCCTGAAAGTGGTAATACAAGTGTATAAGGTGGTAAAGAAGGTATATGCGTGGTTGCCTTCATTGATTGGGGCATTGAATATAAAAGTTAGCAAGTCATGTTGCAGCTGTATGAAGGTTTATTTAGGCCAGACTTGGAGCATTGTGCATAGTTCTGGTCCCCACACTATAGGAAGTATGTGGAGCCTTTGGAGAGGGTATAAAAGAGCTTTACCAGGATGATGTCTGGATTGGAGAGTATTAACTATAAGGAGAGGTTGGACAAACTTGGATTTTGCTAGAGTGTCAGAGGCTGAGGGGTGACCTGATTGAAGTATGTAAAATGACCAGAGGCTTAGACAGGGTGGATAGTTGAAGGCTTTTTCCCAGGGTGGAAATGTTAAACACTAAGGGGCTTAGATTTAAGGTGAGAGGGAAATGTTTAAGGGAAATGTGCAAGTTTTTTACATAGAGGGTAATAGGTGCCTGGAACCCACTGCCAGGGGAACTGATAGAAGACGGTATGTTAGCAAAGTTTAAGAGGCATTTAGACAGATGCATTAACAAGCAGGGAATAGAGGGATATGGACTATGTGCAGGCAGATGGGATTAGTTTAGAGTGGCATTGTGGTTGGCATAGATATGGTGGGTTGAAGGGCCTGTTCCTGTGCTGTAATGTTGTATGTTCTATGTACAACCTCAAAAATATCAAAACTTGCATGTCTGAACTGCCACTCATGAGGAAGAGTCTTACAACTGTTTGATCACGTAATAAGATGAATACTAACTGCTGTGTTGATATTTCTTACACATTCCCATCACTACATTTAAATTCCTGAACGCAATACCTGGTGACTCAAATTGGAGATGAGCCAGTCAACCAATCATTTTGTATAATCTTGTGCTCATCATTTCTAATTGCCAAAGTTCTGAAACAAACTTTTAATAGCTCACTTTATGTTCTTCTGTCTGGCATTTTCACGGATAGAATCCGTTTAAGTAGTTCAGCACCATCCTGAAAAAACAGAGAAATGCAACATGAATTAAAGGTTTACATGGAGCATAGGGCCTTTGCAGCAGATGTTTGTCATAATGAGTTGAGCACTGAAACATTTACCAATCTGGAAAAAAAATCTTGCCTTTCTCACACGGTGTTTGTAATATACTTTGGAACATCTGGAGATTGTGAAAGCTGGTATCTATATGTACGTCTGTCTGTCTTTTGTTAAAACACTCTGTGTTGCCTCTGCTAAGCCCAAGTTCTGGAGTGTGATTTCTTGTATTCACCACAGTTTCTGGTGCAGTGTAAATGTGATGACAAGCTTACTTAAATAATAATCAGATGACTGATTCAAAGGTACTAGCAACTTACTGTTGTTGAAACGTATAGTTTACTACAAAAGTCTTGTGAAAACAATATCTACCCTGTTGCAATTGACACAATTTTTAGATTATGCCTTTACACCAAAATTAGGAATAGGAGTTCAACCCTTCAAGCCTGTTGTGCCATTCAGTGAGTTTCCGACTGACCTGAGTTTGCTGGTGACACCCAAAGAGTGTGCAGCTCAAGCCTTTGCTAAACTTCTAATCTCAATGTCTTTCAAAAGTCTAGTTTCTGAAAAAAAACTGCCTATGTTTTGACTGCAAAGGGAATAGATTCCAGCTTACCACTGTAACACTATCCGAAGTTCAACTACTTCTAAACGCTGTGAAAGGAGACTGCTGTACACAACCAACTGAAGAAAGTACCCGCCTTTGTTTTTAAACCCTAGCAAATTTGCTGCAGGTCACTTATAATTATCCATTAGAAACTGGGTTTCAGGAAACACACTTCCACAAGGAACTTGAGAAAAACATTTAAAAACCAATGCCTCTTATTGACAGGAGAGAAGGACACACAAAAAAATCCTTCAAATCACCTCTCCCTCTTGTCTGGGACACAATTAACAAGTCAGACACATGGAAAGGAAGAATATAGAAAAAAAAAGTGCAGAAGACCAACAAAATTGGGGTTTAGAATGGCAAATGTAGAGGGTGAAGATTATCAGATCAGCCATGATCTCATTGAATGGTGGAGAAGCCTCAAAGAGCTGAATGGACTAATTTTGCTCCTACATAGAGTCATACAGCACAGAAACAGACCCTTCCATCCAACCAGTCCATTCTGAACGTAATCCCAAACTAAACTGGTCCCACCTGCCTGCTCTTGGCCCATATCCCTCCAAACCTTTCCTATTCATGCACTTATCCAAATGTATTTTAAACACTGTAATTGTGCGCACATTCCCCACTTCCTCTGGAAGTTCATTTCATACACAAATTTGCCCCCATGTCCTTTTTAAATCTCTCTCCTCTCACCTTAAAAATGTGCTCCCTAGTTTTGAAATCCCGCATCATAGAGAAAAGACAATTACCATTGACTCTATCTATATCCCTCAATATAAACTTCTATATCTTATGGTTTATGATCTGAATCCATCATCCTGTATGTTTTTGATGTCCCTAAATACTTTTTGATTTACAAAAATCTCCAATCCTTAAAACTAACAATTGACTGAGCATCAGCTGCCCAACTATGGCAGAAGAAGTCCAAGCTTCTAACACCCTTTGAGCATAGAAGTATTTCCTAACTTCATTCTTGAAAGTCTGGTCTCTAATTTTTAGACTATGTACCTGAGTTGTGGACTCCCAGCACAAATTGTTTTTCACTATCTATTTGATCTATTCCACTTAATATCTAAAACATTTAATCTAATCATCCTTGTCATCTAAAATTCCCGAATACAACCAAAGTTTATTTAACCTTGATTCATAATATAACCTTTGCTTTTTAGGAATCATTATAACATATCTATATTGCATTATCTCCAAGACTAATATTCCTTCTTAATTTGTGGTGTTCAGAACTAAACTTTAATGGGGAGGTAATGGCCTAGTGGTCGTATTGCCAGCCTGTTAATCCAGAAACCCAGATATTATTTTGAGGACCTGAGTTCAAATTCCACCGCGGCAGATGATGGAATTTGAATTCAATAAACACCTAGAGACAAGGGTCAAATGATGACCATGAAACCATTGTTGATTGTCAGGAAAAACTCATCTGGTTCACTAATGGCCTTTAAGGAAGGAAACTGCCATCCTTACCTGGTCTGACCTCCATGTGACTCCAGACCCACTGCAATGTGGTTGACTCTCAACCACCCTCTGGGCAATGAGGGATGGGCAATAAATGCTGGCTAGCTCATGACACCCACATCTCATGAATGAATTTTAAAAAAGGGTAGAATCTTCCCTGACCCTGAAAGCCATAGACATTGGCAAGAAAATTGGGAAAGTTATGTAAGAGTAAGATCCTGCCAACAAGAGCAAAAAGCCCAGTTATCCAACCAGGTCTTGAACAGCTAGTAAACAGTGAAAGGTCTGTCTCCTGTATTAGTATGCATTAGTATCTTCATTATTGTATTAATGCCTCACTGATATCTATTCTTCCAGCTGCTGAATAGAAACTAGATAGAGACAATTTTTGACACAAAGGTCAGTGGTAAGCTGGCAACACCATCTCGCAGTCTGATCTTCCAGACCTCCATCAACCACCAACACCTCAAGGCATGCTCCACACCCCTGTCCAGCAGGACTTCCACACTACTATTGGTAAAACGATGCCAATTCCTCTCTATCTGACATGGCCGAGGGAAATAAACTAAACCAGACAGGGCAGCTGCAGGCTGCCATTGCCTGACCAGGTGCACTTATGGGCTTTAAAGATGGTGTGGGCACCAGGAATCCCAGGAAGTTTGGCAGTGACTAGTAATTAAGTCTGTGGGGAGAGGGAGGGTTCGCCAAAGGGATTTGGTGCATAGGTGATGAAGTGAGTTTAGGAATATATTGCAAGAAAATGTGCTAGAGCCCTTGGACAGAAAACCTACATGAAACTCACTAAAATTGGCACTTAACAGATTTATGGTAAAATTCAGCCCAATACTCCATATGTGATTTAACCAAGGCTTTGTGGAAACATCAGAGGAGGAGTAGGCTGTTCAGCAGCTCAAAACTGCTCTGCCATTCTACATCCATGGTGATCTTCTACTTCAATGCCATTTGCTGCACTGTCCCCATATCTCTTCATGTCATTAGTATCTAGAATGCTATTAATATATGTCTTGAATTTAGCTTCCAGAACACACTCTGGGGTATAGCTGTCACATGACATTGCGTCCCTGTATTTGTTTTGATGGATAAACCAACTTGTGTTATATCACTGATAGTAGGAACTGCAGATGCTGGAGAATCCGAGACAACAAGGTGCAGGGCTGGATGAACACAGCAGGCCAAGCAGCATCATAGGAGCAGAGAGGCTGACGTTTCGGGCCTAGACCCTTCATCAATTACGAGAGAGTTGCAGTGGGAGAGAGATCCCTTGAGGTTTGTCCGTAGGGAGGAGTCTAGGCCCGAAACGTCAGCCTCTCTGCTCCTATGATGCTGCTTGGCCTGCTGTGTTCATCCAGCCCTGCACCTTGTTGTCTCTGTGTTATATCACTTCCTTTTTCTAAAAACAAATTCTTTCATGCATACCTAAGTTTTGTTTGTCAATATTCTGGCAAAACTTGAATATTGTCAACACAGAGGAACAGCCATCATGGTGTACCACATCCACAGACACAGAATTTGCCCTCAGTTAGTGGAATGTGAATTCAGCTCGGCTTCCAGATATTGGACAGAAATCTAGTTAGCAATACGTATTGCTGGCAGTTCCAACATTAAAAAAAATCTTATAG